TTATACACCCTTCTTGTAATTTCTGGTTTGTTTCACAAGGCTAGAAGATATATTCAATAGTCCCTTTTAAAGTCTACATTGTATGTTCCTAAAGAGATGTAGACTTTATACATGTGTTTTAGAACCATTAGTAGAAAACTATGTGCTACATACATCCTAGTAATCTTGGTTTATTCCACGAGTAGATTTTGAGTTATATCAGGCGCTTCTTTAAAAATAGCAACACACTTTATAAACATGACGAAATTGCCTCATTACTCTCCAAGCAAGGAATTTTTATCTAATAGGGTATGACACAATCGTGTTGCGTTGTTTTTCGGGGCTGATGCGTTGTTCTTGACGATAAAGTGTTATATTTTCGCCTTCAGAGTAAAGTGTAATATCGTTTACTTGCTAAGAGGAAAACGTGTTGCTTGAAAGTAAAAGGCAAATTTAATATCATTAACAGATTATAAAAGCTATGAAATAAAATTATATTTTAAACTTAGGCAAATAAATAAATTTTTTAATATTCGCCTAAAAAAACTGTGATGAAGTCTTTGATTTGCAGAAATTTTTTTTCTGTATAAACTTTGTTGAAGTAAAGTACAAATATCTGGAAGCTTTCAGATTTTATATTACACCCAAACACCCAAAGAGGCGTTTTTTTAACGTTTTGTGCGTTACCTTTATTTATTAAATATCACGTTCTTTGCACTTAAACCATAAAATTCAATTCAGCAGCAATATCGCAAAAATAATTTTAAAATGAGCATATCTTCAGAATTTCTGATACACAGTCTTTCGCACTGGAGATAAAAATGCTTTTTTTTGGGGGGGGGGAGTACAGTGTTGCCATGGCTCGCTTTGAAATCGTTAAGTTTCTAAATCAGAAACTCATAAATGCTTTACAAAATATAAAATAGATATTAAAGCAAATTCCAAATTTTGGCTTCCAAATTCTCATATTCGGGTGGAAACGTACATTATTCAAAATTGGATGGCTCTAGGTACCGTTGTTTTATCACAATACGAGAAACATACATATATTCATGCAAATTCTTCATTATTTAATTTCTTTAAATATAATGCAGGGCTCTAATATTTGGTGGCAACAATTTAAAAAGTGATTCGCCGTTTATAGTGAATCAACATTTTCTCTCAACAAATACGTATGCCGGGGGAGGGATAGACATTTTTAACTATCCAGACTTTATGAATAGTTAGACGAATTTTATGCGTCTGTTATTTGAAGCTGTGCTGAACTGCAATATTTTAAAGCCAAGAGAAAGTTATAAAATAACGGTAATAATAAATGATAATAACCTCGGCGCCAGGGTACCTCAAAACAATTCATTTCCCCCTTTTAATTAGAGGAATTCTTAGCGGTATCTTTACTGTGATGACGTCATGCTTCTTCATTTGAATAAAGATGTAATTCTAAACATTGCATTGTTTTGCAGACATTTATTGAAATTAGGAAATTGGCTGAAAATATAGTACATAATACGTTCGCTGAAAGCAAATTACATACAAGAAACAAAAAATAATACTTTTAAGTGTCAATGACTAACTATTTATTTTACGTAATATGAGCGCCGTCAAAAGTCAGTTTTGTTTTGAATACTCACTTTTCTCTGCTTCTGAACTGGAAACACGAAAATCAATAGCAGCGCATTGATTTAGAGAACGCTAAGTGGCAACAGTGGGAACTTCAGAATTTGCTTTCGATTTATTTAATGCAGCTCGAATGCTGCTAATGAGGTCTTATAAATTCTAGATTAGAATTATTTGTTTTGTATTCTAATAAACTCCATTTTAAACTATACTGAATGCTGGTTTAGACAGAAATACCGCTGGGCCGCAAGAAGTTTAGATGCGGCATTTAGATTTATTTTAGAATCTTTTTAGATACGCCGCGCCATTTTTCTGTTGAATAAAATCCATAATGTTAATTCTATACTTTTAACTCTTTCCGGCGCGCTATCTTTTAAAGTTGGAATTTCGATTAAAAAAAAAAAAAGATAGGCAGTCTAATTAGGCCTAGAGAAGTACACAAGTAAAATTTTATGAAGATAGCACTTAACCGTTTTAATTCTGTGGGTGTGCCCGAAGTGGATCACTCACTGAATAGAGCTTCGAAAAGAATGCTGAAACGAGCATTGCTGGGAAGCGCGTAAAAGAGTAAGAGATTTTGCCTACGATTAAAAAACACTAGATTCTTAATACCGTATCAGATTTAGAATTACCTAGGGTATGCCACGGGGAGACCTGCTATTCTACCCCCCCTAAAAAGCTCTTTTTTGGTTGTATAATGATTACATGCGTATGAATGGGAAAAATGTAACTTGGGTATATGATAGTTACATCGTTTACGTTTCATATTTACACTTTAGTCTATTTTTTACATGGTGGTACTTTTCGAAGAAAGTGACACCACCTTTAAAAAAGCACAACCCAATATTGTATGTTTTGCACATGTACTGGGATCCGTATCAGATTCACTATCTGAAGCATGAAGCAACTTGTGTACGACTTGCTTCAGAAATGGTCATCCCTCTCCGATCCGTTTGGAAAATAATTAAAAATCCGAAAAAATAAACTAATGTTATATCTACAGTTAGAAATTACAAACTATAAAATGAAATTAAATACACGTCTACAACTCAAAACTACTAAACGTAGCGCTAGCGAAACTTTGAACGAAAGCTAAAGAGAAAAAGAGAACTGCTCTAGTGAAAAACCAAACAGCTAACTGATAAAATTACCCTTGACCTTCAGAAAATCACCCCAACAATTTGTTAGTTGATAAACAAAAGTCCCCTCTAAAAAACTTTTTTTTTTAAAAAAAAAGAGAGAGAAACAAGAAATGAAACACAGATGTGAAACCACCTTTTTGTTGTCAATGAACTGACCGATGAGATGCGGAGAAACAAAGAATACAGTCTCTCAGTTGTCCTAGAGTCTTGGTGTGCCCGCTATGGGAACACTTGAGGTTCGCTATTCGATTTTAGGCAAGATTTCAAGGTAAAAATTTAAAACTAATATAGATTAAGGAGATTAGCATACAGCCAAAACAATAACATAGAAATTTCTTTTCAAACAATTCCTTTTATACAGTAAAAAAAATCTGGAAGATTTCTTTGAAAAATGAGGGGTCTTAAAAAACTAAACATGGCTAAAATATATGGACTGGTTTGTGTTGAGCTGCCATCTACTATAAATAAAGAAAGATAGGAGTAACCTATAAATCCCTTTTCATTCAATTTTTCTGTGCGTACAGAAGGAAATATTTAGGTGTGCCCGGTGCCGCAAAGGGTTAAACTTATGGTTACATGATTATTTGTGCTTCGAAGATTTGTTCTTCGCAGCTTTTTGTAACTGACAGGGAAGGTTTGCTATCCTCTCGATTTTCTGAAATCTCGATATTTCTGAATATTCTCGATTTTCTGAAAAAATACGGACGATTCTTCTTACCTAGAGTTACATAATAGTTAAAGAATTTAGTTTCTAATGTTCCATAGATAGGCTGTTAAATAATTGAAAAATATCTGATATGTACCACATGGACTTCCTTTTACGGCTTACATGGACACATGGACTTCCTTTTACATACATTTTTTCCTGCACTTCATTTAAATCTATTTCCTCGAATTAGTCTAAATTAATAGATCTCTCAAGGCAAGTTTCAAACTTCCTATAATTTTATTTTTTCCTAACGAGTATAAAACTTTTCCAAATATAAATATAGAAACCGGGAGACCGTACTAAAAATTAAATTTCGTTATTTGATCTTTTTAGTCCGAAGGGGCTTTGCCCCTGAAGGACAATTCTTTTCGTTTTGCAATTTTGCGTTGGTTCACTCTGAATGTCCGTTTCACTTTTCAGACTGTTGCCACCCAAAGTTAGAGTTCTGCATTATATTTGAAGAAATTAAATAATAAAAATCTGCATAAATGTATGTATATTTCTCGCCTTGTGATAAAACAACGGTACATTCAGCCATCGAATTTTGAATGACGTCACGTCATCCTTCTTCGAATAGGGGCATGTGGAAACCCAAATTTGAAATTCGGAATTTGTTATATGATCGGCAAGCATTTTATTTTCCCGTTAATTAAGTTAATTTCAGCTCACACATCATTGGCCCCCTACTACAGAGTTAAAATAAAGTTTTATTAAATTTCTTGAGAATAATATTGAAATGGCTCTCAATGTAGACACATAATTACACCAAAGCTATTTTGATGATTTAGGATAACACCGACTACAGTCAATGTTGTTTAGGACTATGAGAGAGCACAATCACGATGAGGAAGAATCTCTCTCATCATCCCTTATGTGTTGTATTTTATATGTGTTGGGTACGTGCTCAGTGATGATTACAAGATGTACACAAACATCGTTTATTCTACATTACTCAAACTCATCGTTTATTCTACAGTTACATATATAACACCTTATTAGTCTTTAGTAACATATTTTACAACGTCATAACGTTATGAAAATAGGAAAATAAAAACCGATAGTGCACAAAGTCTTTCTGCTGTTAAAGTACGTTTCTCAGAGAGAGAGAAAAAAATTAAAGGTCTAAAAAATTATTTACAGGTGGTGCCATCTACTGCAAACAAAGGAAGTCTTCGATGTAAAAATATTGATGCGGTATGAATATCTTTAATAAAGATACACGATACTTAATAAATATGCAAAAACATAGAATTCTTAAATTAAAAAAATGATAAATCTGAAAATAATATTTTCCCTACAGTAGATAATTGTGGACGATTACTTTGTTTCAAACTCTCAACGCCTCAGATTTTAAATGGAAACAATTCGTAAAGTTAGAGAAGACAGTTACGAAATAGTTTAAATTAGAATATTATTACATACATTATATGTATATATTTAGCCTGAAGTAAGGCAAAAATTTTTAACATTATTAAATTATTTGTTTCGTTCGTTTCGTTATTATTTATTTTGTCCTGCGCTACAGTTTGTCCGTTGGGTAAGAAGACTTAATTCCAACTTGCACCAATTATAAGTAGTCGACTGTTGTTTACGTTTGGCCCTCTTTACCTGATATTTTTACTGCAGTAGCTTTTGAAAGACTTTATTTCGAAAATTTTTCGATAAAATGAATGTGCCTGCTTTTCCGTCTTTAAAACCACGAATTTCAGAACATCATTGGTTTTCCGTTGATAGGCCATGTGATGATGAATTGGAATTAACACAAATGGAAAGAGAGCATCAAAATTGGGTATGTTAGTTGTAAAATCATTCAGTAATATGCTTTTTTAAACTATTCTTGATACATACATTTTTTTCAGTTTAGATAATTATTGTCAGTTTCCCCATGTGTAGTGAAATTCATGGTTTTGCCAGTGCGTTCAGATTGAAAAACTGTATTCATATAGAATTTCATTTGTATTGTGTATTTTTATCATAGATAATATTTCTGGATAAAATCCTAGTATACGGTGCAGCCTTGGCGCGACTTTGAAAAATATCGCCAACACCAAAAATGATCCAAAGAACGTCTATATATATATATATATATATATATATATATACTATACACACATAGTATATATACTATGTTTAACTGTATATTTTCTTTGAATGACCCGTTAACTACTCATCGTATATGTCCCGTTTTTACTGCTCATCATAAAGTCGCCGAAAGTAGCCAAATCCCGTGTGCACCAGATACTAGGATTAAACGTATTTCTGCTCTTCTCCGAATATAAGCAGTTTCAGTTACATGTTTGAAAAATTATTGAGACTGAGAGGTATATGCTTAAAAGTGTAATTTAGGCTGATCTTTGGAATACGGTAACGGGTAGTTTGGTGACATTTTGGAGGCGATTACTACCTAGGACTTTGGGAATAATGTGAGAAGTACTCAGTTCCGATTACGCATTATTTTGTGTGAGGGAAATGAGAGATCATGAGATATGTCATGTGACATTAATGGACGAATCACTGTTTTTTAATCTGAAAAGGGGGTAAATTTGTAAAAATATCTGCTGTACAGCATTAGTTTCATTCTATGTTCTGTGAAACAGTGTTGTTTAATATTTGGATCCCATGGCCCTATATAAAGTAAATCTGAAATTTTTATTGCGTTTATGTGTAATTGAAAAGAATTACTTAATTGCGGATAAGTATGAATGTCCAACATGTGGGTATGAAATGAGATTGTGTGAAAGGAAGGATATTATGGTTGATCTTTACATTATGGTAACTGGTAGTTTGGCGACATTTTGTGATCCGCCATGCACTCAAGATTCTGTAGAAGATTAGGTAAGTTAGTATTTCTAATTATTTGAGGATATTATTTTTATGCATTGTTCTAAATGTAAGGAGTAAATAAATTAATATGGTATTATTGGAAAATTGTTATTAGCTATGATTTAGTTTAAAGTAATTAGGATTGTAAGCTAATTTTTATTAATTTAATGTATGTGCTTATTTATATTTTAAGTAGTGTTTTTTAATTTAATTATATTTTAATTTAATGATCGTGATTTTGAGAGTTATATGTTTGTAGGTATTTGGTATACGTTTCAGTGGAAGTAAACGTGCATGGAAAAGAATTTAAGTATTTGACACTAAGTATTTGGAACCATTTTTAATGTTTGCATTAGAAATTGGTAGGTGAGGTTTATAATAGATAATTTAGAGGGAAAAGTTTTTGGATATTTTATTTATTTTATACGTGCAAATGTTCATCTTTGGAAAGGGTATATACTTTTTCGCGATCAGGTAATTTCATATATGTCCTTTTTACCAAATTTAAAAATTCACAAAATTTTCATGCAATTTCGTAAAATTTTTCTAATTTATGAGAAAAAAGCAGCGTACATGGAAATGGCATTGTGCACACTCTTCACTATAGTGAAGAGTGTGCACAATGCCATTTTTGTGCAATTCTGGGATGTTTTTTTAAGTAAAAATAAGTCGACGTGTACATGGTTTACTTATATTTTAATTAAATGATAGTTATTTTGTGAATTACAGTCAAAAGTCGTTAATTCGGACACCCATAATCCGGAATGATCTATAATCCGGACCTCAAAGCTTCAAACTTTCTGTGCATGCGCGTAAAGCCTTTACGCATGAGAATATGCTTGTGCGCGTGCGCAAAATACGTTTACAAGTGCGCGTTTAATGTATAACGGACGGTATAAGCTACACAAAAATTATTTAATTATCTATTTCTGTTAATGTTGCAGATTGTGTTGTTCCTTAATCTTCGAATTAGATCCGGCTTATTATTTTTTGCAGACTGTTAGAGCAATTTTATAAAAGAAAGCTTGAACTTTCGATTATGTCAAATAGAATTTCTGATATATATTTATTAATATGTAAATGATGTACAAAGCAAAAGTATGTTTCGAAGTTCATTAAACAAAAAGTGGAATTGCTACAAAAAATGGATAAAGGCATATCCTTTATTTATCTAAACTTTAACGTTTGTTTATCTTTAACGGCGCGGCGCCGCGCAATGAATTGGAAGTTGATCTGTCAGCACTATCCTTATCTTCAGGGCAGATGTTTTTATTTTATTTGGCTTATAATTCCTTACTAAATGTAGTATTTCATCTCAATGTACTCCATCTTTGATATGATTTAAATCAAATTCCTCGTCATTATAATTCGCTTCCGATAGCGAAGAAAGTGACAGAGGTTATTGAAAATGAAAAAATTTCAATTGACAATATTAGTCGGTATTCTCGACACAGCAATTATAGGACTTGAACAGCGGAACTTTGTAACTGAACAAGAAATTATGTCTGTTTAAAGAATTAAAGAGAATGTATTATCACATAAAAAATGAAGCAACTTAAACAACTTACATTGAAAGAAATGTTTAATAAAGTAAACAAATAAATATTAAGCTTCTTTTTTGTAAATTTTGATACCCTTTAGATCATAATTGTTCTTTATTTCATAAATTACAGTTTCATATTTTTAATTTTATAATTTCTGCATGCCATCTTACCAGATTTAATTGATGATCTATAATCCGGAAAAATCGATAATCCGGATTCGCCGACGAGTCCGGATTAACGACTTTTGACTGTATATGTTTGTAGCAATTCGGTATACGTTTCAGTGGAAGTAAACGTGCATGGAAATAATTTAAATATTTGAGACTAAGTATTTGTAACCATTTTTAATGTTTTGTTATAGATTCGTTGGTGACGTTTATAATAGATAATATAGAGGTAAAAGTTTTTGTATATTTTATTTATTTATACTTGGAAATGTTCATCTTTGGAGGGAAAGGTATATACTTTTTCGCGATCAGGTAATTTCATATATGTTCTTTTTACCGGAATTTAAAGATTCACAAAATTTTCCTGCATTTTCGTGAAATTTTTGTAATTTATGAGAAAAAAGCAGTGTACATGGATATAGTGAAGAGTGTGCGCAATGCCATTTTTGTGCAATTCTGGGATGTTTTTTTAAGTAAAAATAAGTCGACGTGTACATGGTTTAGTTATATTTTAATTAAATGATAGTTATTTTGTGAATTTATGTTTGTAGGAATTTGGTATACGTTTGAAGTAAACGTGCATGGAAATAATTTAAATATTTGACACTAAGTATTTGTAACCATTTGTAATGTTTTGTATGAATTCGTTGGTGACGTTTATAATAGATAATAATTTAGAGGTAAAAGTTTTTGGATATTTTATTTATATTTATACGTGGAAATGTTCATCCTTGGAAAGGGTATATACTTTTTCGCGATCAGGTAATTTCATATATGTGCTTTTTACCAAGTTTAAAGATTCACAAAATTTTTCCTGCATTTTCGTGCAAATTTTTGTAATTTATGAGAAAATAGCAGTGTAGATGGATAAAGTAAGAGTGTGCGCAATGCCATTTTTTGTGCAATTCTGGGATGTTTTTTTAAGTAAAAATAAGTCGACGTGTAACATGGTTTATTGTGTATGTGCTATTCTGAAAAACGCGGCAAGGAGTTTGCCATTGTGCACTTTTTCTCAATTTTGCAGTTAATATTTGTCATGATTAAGCAGTTTTGTTACATAAAATTTCTAGCATAAGTGTAATTCGGCTAGTAGATTGTTGGAAAAAGTGTTGAGTAAATAAAAACAAAAGAAACATGTCTTTACTTCGTGAAGATAAAATGGCGGCGAAAAAAAAAAAAAAAACAGAGGGTTGCTGTAGCAGACTTGGTTGCCAAAAAATCGCCAAATTACCATAATCCAAAGATCAACCGTAATTTATATCAATCAGTAATATTCCATTGTTAACATGGTTGATTCAGTTGTCCACTTCAGTTCCATGGTTGACAGTAATATTCCATTGTCCACTTCAATTCCATTGTTGACAGTAATATTCCATTGTCCACTTCAATAAAACTGGGAGTGATAAAATTCTTAATTTTTGTATTTAACATATGAAATTAATTTCTGTTTGGTACCCGAGATTTGAATAAAGTACAGTAAGACCCCACTTAACGCGGGGGATACGTTCCATCAAAGTAGAGCAAGCATAATGCGAAACAGCGCTAAACGAGGCTATCTTTACATGTAAATATTGGGGTTAGGGGAAGATGGCTAGGAAATTGGTTAGGTATAAATTTAAAAAAAGTATGTTTTTTTAATAAAAAAAACCAAACATTTATTCTTAAAGCCCCAATTAATACCACATTATTATTTCTTGCAAAAAAAAAAAAACAAAATATAAATAACAAAACGAATATTCTTAAAAAAAAAACAAAATAAAATTCTAAGTCAGTCATATTTAGTTAGCCTTCCGCGTTTTCAGTGTTCTGCCTTTTGTGACAAAGCATCTAATGTTGTTTGCCTTTTTCTTTTGCGTTGTTCTCTTAAAAGTTCTTCATAAAACGGATAGAGTATCTCTAACACCACGCCTTACTTTTGAGCTCCTGTCAAAATTCGGATCATTTCAATGAATTGATCCATTATTTCAGTTATGGTAGACAACTCCTTTTTACAAAACACCATCGAAAGTTCTTTTTGCTCTTCTTTTCTGAATCACTGCTGTCAACATTTTGTTTTCTTCTTGTTCATTTAATTCCTTGAGCTCATCATTAGAAGACTAGCCGCTGCTTCTTGAATTATTTCTTCGACATCTTCCACCATTTACCCTTCAAAATATGTCTGTACAATACCGCACCAAACAAGAAATACAAGTACACTCTTTTCGGATATGTATTTGAAAACCTATCGCTGCATAATATTTCGTGGAATCCCCGTA